GTATAATGTCAAATTTCATTCATACTTGTGAGATTAATTTACCTATTTCTGAATTCGTTTCGTATGATATGTTATCTAAATATGTGGAATATACTACACATGCATAGAACCAAATAGAATTAAAAATAATAGACAGACTCAACATTATTACCGAAATTAGTCCAAGAAGTATTTAAAAAACGCGTTGGATATATCAATAAAAAGAAAATATAATCTTCTTTTAGAAAATTGTAGTTATTATTTTTATTGTAATGTAAATAGATAATATGTACTTGTTACAGTTTAATACAATGAACTTTGAAATAAATTGAAGAAATATTTTTTATTGTTATAGAAAACAATCTCCTATAGGTTTCTCAAATTGATTTAATTTTCTGCGAGTGTCCTAATACTTTTGGAGGGGAAGGTATTCAACTTAATAATTCTGGTAAAAGATCACGATTCATAGTGAATCTAACATATGACTATACACGTGACATGCAAACGTAAATGTAAATGCAACATGAAAATCATTGATTCTAATCTATCGATATTAATAATATTAATTATATATTATTATAATATTAATAATATAATAATGATTATAATATTAATAATATAATAATTATTATAATATTAATTATATATTATTATAATATTAATAATATAATAATTATTATAATATTAATATCTATCGATATTATTCCGAATGCTATTTTCTTTTCCATTCGTTATTTATATCTAAATTCGATAAGAATCTCTCTTCAGGGTAAAACCGCAGACGGCGGCCATTGTTGTTTCTCGCGTGTGTTTCCTCTTTGAAAGATTTCAGGACTCGGCCGCAATCATTTGAAATTTATCAGTCGCTAATTCAAGCTCGAATGACTTCGTTACAACGTAGTCAAGTGACGAAACGCGTCGTTTGAATAAAACTACAAGAAAAATTACCGTCGGGATTCGCAGTGGAAGACGAGCCGTGCTCTTCGGACGCTGCGCTGCTCGGCGACGCTAATCCGGAGCTAGACGAATGTGGGCCAGAAGAATTGGTAGACGTTAAACCGAGACCCAACTGCTCGGCGACTTCCGCGTGATCTTGCTGATGAACATAATCGAAAACGCTCGATCCCGTCATCTCTACCTGAAATCCAAGCACACGCGCCATTTTACTTCGGGCACCAGCAACGGTTGGCATTCCGAAGTGCGAGCCTGAAATGATCGCTGTTTAGGGAGAACCTAATTTCGACGAGCACCTAAGTTGCACCACCAATGTTTTTAGAAAGGAGTGAAAGAAAAATATCCGCAGAATTATTAATATCATGTATTGATTGATTGAGAATTATGATTTGATTACAGCTTAGCTTTGTATCTCGGAAATAAATTTATTAATTGATTAAAAATTGGGTCGACTTTGGCGCTGATCTCAAGATATTTGTGTTTAAGTCAATAATAAATTGGGATGTAGACGAAGAGCTTTTTATGTGTTTTTTATATTTTAAAGTATTTTATATCTACTTTGCAAAAATGTCAATTAATTGTCGTTGTAATGTATTACAAACTTAGAAGTTCTAAGAAACTATTGTCTCTCATATTACAAGATGACGAAGTGGTGCATAATTCTCAGACTGCGAATTCTATGCACTTATAAGAAAAATGGGTATGTCAAATACAAAACTGAAAAAACGTTGGTAGAGTTTAAGGATTTCGGTATATTATTCTCAACTGATTAAGATTGTTAACAGGGAAAAGATTTAATTTATATTTCTTACAATTAACTTAACCGATCTTTATTTTGCACAAAGATCCGCAGTCTGATAATTATTAAATAAAAACAGCTTCAGATTTTCCAAAAAAGTTCGGAACGATATAAATCGACGAGAAATGTGATAAACATTGCATCATTCGTGAAGAGTTACTACAGAGTCACTTAACCAGCGGAGCATACGTGTCTGACAACGGCTTATATATGGAGGATTAATTAGGACACAATCTTCAGCACGTAATATTTACTTTAATAGATTAATACGATAACACCGTTTACGCGTACGATAAATTATCGTGATGATTCGTTAACTGTCGACCGTTTCGAAGACGTTAAAACAAATTATCAGCAGAGCCGATTAAAGTAATATTTGTCGAGTGTTTAGTAATTAAATTATATGAAAGTGTGGCTACACTGATTTGGCCAACGTTCAAAAATATGAACCGGGAATGTTATCAATATTAAAGGTTTCCAAGTTTCCGGCCATTTCCGCGAGATTTATGAAGCGAATAACCAAGTTCGGTGTTTGACATCTAACCGATGTCTTTATGATAATCCCAACCTTTCTCTCAGGAATTGAATTGAAAGAAGTTTCTTTCTGGGGCCAACCTTTCATACCTCCGACGGTGCACACGTGAACAAACTTTAATAACTTCTTGACGGAGACAACATCTCTCTTATATGTATATTCGCGTACTATGGAGTCTCTATAATTTATTATATTTATGCACAACCATGCTGTCTGTGTGTAGAACTTAATTGACGAAGACTTTTCTCTTTCGATGATAGAATTGTGTATTTTAATGAAATGTTATTAATACAACTACGTATAGATGTTATATTTTCAATTCTTCTTTAGCGTTTAGAGATATGTTAATAAAAACCATAATCTCGAATCATTAATAAAAACGTTATATTAATTTGTTTAAAGCATATGTTATACGTTTAAAAGAAATATTGCGTTAACATGTTATATGTTAAGAAAACATTATACACATTTGTTAAAAGCATATGTTATATGTTAAAGACTATTATGTTAATGAAAGCCATACTCTCGAACCATGAATTAATACCGATATTCTAAAAATGACATGAAATGAAATAAAAATTAACGTATAAAAATATTAATGCACGTGTAACTAAATACACGTGAAATACTACGAGTGCATTTAAATATACGTGAAATAATTCACGGGTGCACGTGTTCTTAATATGACACGTACTTCAGTACGCGCATACGAATTTCACGTGTACACGTGTATTTAAGTATACGTAAAATCATAACCTCTAATATGTATATCTTCCTAAATGTAAGAATTCTTTTTTTTTTGCTAAACGTATGTTGTACACTGAAATACGCTTCAAAGCGAGTTATCTTATAAAAGAACTACAAAGAGTAGTGGGAACATAATATGATTGAAATTACATTATAATCGAGAAGAATGTAAGATATTTTCTCCACTGTAACAGCGTTCCCACAATTCTAATAAAAATGTTTCAAAATGCAACATAAATATCATGTGACTGGTATCCAGAATTCCATAGATATTTCAAAATGCTGACAGAAAATACTCGTAAACTTCCACTAAAAAACACCTATAATATTATATTATTTAGTATATATATATGTATTATATATTATATATTATATGTATTATTTATTACTATAATATTAGTCATTACATTATAAAACAACCAACATCGCATTTATGACCAAGCATGTCCATTTATTGCCTTTTAAACCAATATTTATGCAACAACAATATTTCTGGTAACAAGATTGCGCATCTTTATACAAGATAAAACGTTCTTGCAACAATTAAAAATCGGAATTCGGCATATACTTGTTCCCTTTCTAAATGATTCTAGTAGGGTGATAATTACGCTGCGGATTTTTATGCAAAATAAAAATTATCTAAGATAATTGCAAGAAATAGGAATTAAACGAAAATACTTTTTTCTTTTAACAATCGAGAAATAAGTTGAAAATAATGTAACAATATCCTTAAATTCTTCTTGTGTTTTTCTATTTCTGTATTTGATCGATTCATTTTTGTTATAAATACATAAAATCCGAAGTTTACTGGTAATAATATAGTAGAATCTCTGATATCCGAATTCACTATCACCCAAACATGTTTCACAGTATAGTAAATTTTTCCCAATTGTTGTTCAGCTTGTGAACAAAATTGGACAATTTGGGAAGAGGAGATGCGATTATTCGAGCCTCGCGGCTCGTTTTTATAGTTGCCGATTATCAACACCTATAATTGTTTCCATTTTTGTTTATGAATTGGAGGACAATTTACTGTACAGTAGATTTTCCTAATTCGTGCTCAGATTGCCTACAAAAATGGACAATTTGGGAAGAGTAGTTGTTTAAATAATCGTATCTCGCCCTAGGGATAATTTACTGTACTTTGAAAGATACGATGAACGAGATGGTAATACCGAGCTCTTTAACACGATTAAGCGTGATTAATAAACTACCATTCAGACTATGATCAAGAACTAGGTTATTCTTCTTAGTATCAAATCTAACAATACGATCACTTATCGCACAATAGAACAGTTAGTTACAGTTTCAGATTTCATCTTTATTGATAGCAAATCGTTTTACACGTGGTTTGCCAGAGCTTGAGCTGATCACACGTGGAACGTATTATACTTGGACAACGAAGAATTCTAATATTGCAGGATCGGATAATCGAGGTTCTACCGTATNATACAAGATAAAACGTTCTTGCAACAATTAAAAATCGGAATTCGGCATATACTTGTTCCCTTTCTAAATGATTCTAGTAGGGTGATAATTACGCTGCGGATTTTTATGCAAAATAAAAATTATCTAAGATAATTGCAAGAAATAGGAATTAAACGAAAATACTTTTTTCTTTTAACAATCGAGAAATAAGTTGAAAATAATGTAACAATATCCTTAAATTCTTCTTGTGTTTTTCTATTTCTGTATTTGATCGATTCATTTTTGTTATAAATACATAAAATCCGAAGTTTACTGGTAATAATATAGTAGAATCTCTGATATCCGAATTCACTATCACCCAAACATGTTTCACAGTATAGTAAATTTTTCCCAATTGTTGTTCAGCTTGTGAACAAAATTGGACAATTTGGGAAGAGGAGATGCGATTATTCGAGCCTCGCGGCTCGTTTTTATAGTTGCCGATTATCAACACCTATAATTGTTTCCATTTTTGTTTATGAATTGGAGGACAATTTACTGTACAGTAGATTTTCCTAATTCGTGCTCAGATTGCCTACAAAAATGGACAATTTGGGAAGAGTAGTTGTTTAAATAATCGTATCTCGCCCTAGGGATAATTTACTGTACTTTGAAAGATACGATGAACGAGATGGTAATACCGAGCTCTTTAACACGATTAAGCGTGATTAATAAACTACCATTCAGACTATGATCAAGAACTAGGTTATTCTTCTTAGTATCAAATCTAACAATACGATCACTTATCGCACAATAGAACAGTTAGTTACAGTTTCAGATTTCATCTTTATTGATAGCAAATCGTTTTACACGTGGTTTGCCAGAGCTTGAGCTGATCACACGTGGAACGTATTATACTTGGACAACGAAGAATTCTAATATTGCAGGATCGGATAATCGAGGTTCTACCGTATTCTCAAATTCAGTCTCGGCCTTCGGTATTCGCAGTTCTCCGACAAACGCTCGAGAACACTGTCGCATCGAAAATTTCTAAAATAAATGGACTCAAATGCATCGCTATGTGCGTCGCATAGATGGATGCTCTGATCAGAATTTCTCAAACGGGTTCAAAGACAAGGTATGTATTATAAATCCCGCGGAGTAGATTACCGGCAGGGGCGGAGAGGCGCAGGGGGTACCCTCTCGGGGAACGAAACTCTTAATTCCGACGGAAGTCAATTTCATCAGCGTGAAAACTTTAATTTCAATCGAACTTGCCCGTGGAATAATAAAATCGCCGCGTTCGTAGCCGCGGTACTTCCCCGGTCTAAGCCCGAGACCTATTAAAAAGCTTGCAATTAAAGATCGCCGTCGAAAGGAAACGGTCGGCAGCGACGGTCGTTTGGTCGGAGGAGGACGGCTATGGTTAGAGTGTCTCTTTTCGGTCGATGGGAAGCAGCTACGTCTCGATTTCCATATCGGAATGTTTCGGTGGACACGCATTCCGGTGGCCGGTTCTGGCTCGTTGGAGTCTACGTTGTAGTCTACGTTCGAATATGTTGGAATACGTTGGACTACGTTGGAGTATACAGTGGTTCGCGAAAGTATTCGAACACCTTTTGAAACGGAATAACTTTTTAACTCGATCAACTTACCCTGTCGAGTTATTGACAACTAATTTCAATGTTCGCATTCCGAAATAATTGATGAATAAAGTGTTAAACAATCTATAGCATACTCGGTTATGGTTTTACCAAAATTGTCCGCCATTTTTTAATAGATAACCGAGATTCATGTTTAGGTTCAATACAAAAAATTATACTATAAAGTATATACTTTTCAGATTAATTTCCTCGGAAAACCTCGTATCGCTAAAAATCGTTGTTTTCACCCTTCTCAACAATTGTTAAAATTATAAAGATTGTTTCGTGAGAAATGGTAGATTTTTCTTAACTGAAGCATACATTGTAATAAAAATGGGGAGAGGTTTAGGTAAATTTAGTCTTGTCGCAGTGATCTAATACTGATAGTACTGGATGGGTTTAGTGTCAAAATTAGACGAAATGACTTGAATCTTTTTGAAATGTTAATGCAATAATCCTGTTAAAATTGTTTCCAAACATTTCATTTAATCGGAATATCGGAAAAAGTTAAAAAACTCACGTTCTGTAACTTCCTTTTCATCTGAAAATCAATTAAAAACGGTCTTCGACCGATAATTATAAGCTAATCTGAAGATACATCAGTCAATGCCAGTAGCTAAAGTTTGCATCAACCGATTTTGATGAGAGATCTGATACCTACAAAACGCATTATTTAAATTTTCGTATTCGGTTCAAATAAAAAAGTTAAAAAATGTAAGATTTTCAATTTCTCGTCATTCAAACTAGTTGTAATGTTTGAAAAAGGTTCTTTTTTAGACATTATCTAGTAAACTAATCATCCCCTTACATCTCAACAAACTTCAAATCATTTTGCCCAATTTTTAACGAGTTATTTCCTTTTAACACTGGACTGGTTCGTGGCGTTCAAATTAATCGGTTTCACAGTTTTCATTTGAAGATTGTTGAAGCTATAAAGACTCTCTTTTGGAAAACGATCGAATAAACTTCTCATTTCAAGCATACGTTATAATCAAAATGGCGAAGTTTTTAATTAAATTCAGTCTTGCGACTCTTACAAAACAACATACGTGAAAATATCTAACACGTTAGTGTCAAAAGGTGTTAAAATACATCGGAATACGTTGGAAGACGTAGGAATACGTTGGAATACGTTGGAATATGATGGAATACAGTGGGATACGTTGGAATATCCGTTAGAATATTGAATCGCGATGGTATAAACGTTGGAATAAACGTTGGAATGCGTTGAAATGCGTTGGGATACGTTGGAGTACGTTGGAGTATATGTTGGAACATTCGTTGGAATATACGTTGGAGTACACGTTAGAATATTCGTTGGAATACGTTGGGATACGTTGGAATAAACGTTGGAATATGTTGGAATACGAATACGTTAGGATATACGTAGGAATATCTGTGGAACGCAGGGGCGCCGGCGGCCATGTTTGTGGCAACGTCGGCGCCGGTTTCCCGAATCCCCGAAACACCCTATTGATTGCTCCACGAGTCTCGCAGAACCGAGCTGGTACACCGGTCACCTCCCGTACACCTCCTGTTCCTCCCGCTATCGCGTCCCTCTATCTCTCTCCCTCTCCTCCTTCTCTCTCTCGCTCCCTCCCTCTCTCTCTCTCTCTCTCTCCGTCTATTCCCCTCTGTATCCCTCCGGTCCCCTCCTCTCTCTCTCTTTTCTCCATCTACCTTCACGGGCAGCATTAGGAATGGCGAACACGCCGCCGTGCAGAGGCTACGTGAGCCGCATGCGACCACCCCCGCCTCCAACCACCCATCCTTCCCTCGTCTATGTCATGCTTGGTGCCAGCCAGTATGGCCGCCAACTCATACAACCTTCTCCTCTTTTCCTCCCTTGACCTCTCTCGTCCTTATCCACCTCTTTCGCTCGCTCTCTGTCTCCGTGCCAGCCACGCTGCTTCTCTCCCTCCTCTTCTCGTCTTCCTTCTCCCCCTTCTCTTTCTCTTCGCTTCTCTTCAACTCCTCTTTCTCCTCCGTTCTCTTCTTCTTCTCTTACTCCGTTCTTGGTTCCCAGCAGCCACCCACTCCGTCGTCTACCCTTCGTTCCCTCTCTTCCCTCTTCATTCAGCTTCTCCTTTTTCCGGCGACCGTCTTCCCTCGCCACTATCTTTGCCCTTCCGGCTCGCATACGTGCCAGCTTCGCGTGCACGCTTGTGTCTTATATGTCTTCCGCTTCATTTCACCCTCTCCCCCACGTTCCCACCGTCACCTATCTCTGCTCCCGGCCTCCGGCCCCCTCCCCCCTCCACCCTCCGGAACCCACCGACCTTCCATCAACATCCCCGCGAACGAGTCACGCTCCCAACGACGCCCCCGACCGACCGGACCCGGCGAGAACCGACGCTACAGAAACGCTACACACTCACCTGTGAGAGTCCAAGGTAAATTGAGACGGTCTCGGATATGTACAGGAACCGTCCATCAGCGGCGACCGCCATCGCGAAGCCGTCCAGCGACTGAAACGAAAAATATTGGAGCAATCCTGATGCGCCCCCTGCGCTCCGCTCTTTCCAGGCAGGAACCAGCGCCCGGTTTCGCTTCTGCCTCCAGCAGCCAGCATTTCCGGGCGCCGCTTACGGCCTCGAATCTTGGTTCGACTTCTCCCTCGGTATATGTATAATACTCGCATCGAGATCTTTTTTCAGTTTCACAGCCCTTTTCGGTTTCTAATCTCGCGGCGCCAGTTCGCGTTCCATTCGTAATGTTCGCACGGTTTTCTTGGGAACCGTGTTAAGGCCGAGGGAGTTCCTACCAACGGGCGGATGAAATTTTTATTAAGTTTATTGGGATTTCTACCGCAACTTATCACCAAGCGACCAGACTCTGCACTTTTCGCTTACTTTCTGTCGGGGTTGGATACTTGTCGTTTTAGTAAAAGGGCGATACTTGTGAGTTGAATTGTTGCTTGTTTAGTTTCCGGTTGCAGAGGGTAGAAAAGATTCTAACACGTGTGTGATTAGGGTTTGTCGTTTATATTCGAAATAAGCTTCTTTCGTAAACGTTTCGGAGCAAATTTCGTACAGGCTACACAAGTTTTGAAAAGTGGATAATTATGTGTATTGTGTATTATGTTTACTGTCGTTGATGCACGGTTGTTCGAGTATGCAAGATCAACGAGGATTAGAGTTGATCATTTTGAATCAATAGATGATACCGCGGACTTACTTGAAGAATATGGGTGCCTTGATGTACCTCGAAGTGGTCCACTGCGGCCGATGCCGGTGACCTTCCTCGATTTGCACCTAAAACCACACGAATTGTCCAAGATTAATAAAAGATACCGGTTTGTTGCGCTTGCTTTGCCATCTAATGTATTTCTTGCTATTTAAATAATATTAATTCACTTATCGAAATTAATGCCAACAATTTTTATCTAGCACGGAGACCAACAGTCTAGCCACTATATTTATTTTCATATCGTTGTGGATCTCGAATGCATATAAACCGCAGTCTAGTTTTTTACAATCGATTGCCACGAATTGCAGAATCCAAACATAAAACTAACCTTAACACGTTAACGGTCAGAACCATAAAATTCACCCAAATTGTTTGATAATAAGGCAGCAGTGTTTTATATTAAGGTCTAATGGAAAAGCTAATGTGTTCAGGAGTATATTCAAAATTATGTTGAATAATATTAATAAACAAGATTTTGAAAGTTATATTTATATATAAAAGTTATATATTATATCAGTTATATATATATATATATTTCTGTCGAAATGATCAGTCGTTTAAGTTAACGCTCGAAACTTCTAGTGTTATCTGATGTGAATCTATTAATATAGATTGTAACAAAAGTTCGTGTTCAAGTTTGCTCAATCATATGCTAGCACGTCACTCAGAGTGTTAATTACACAATAAAATCATTTCCATTAAGGTAACATCCTTAGAAATCCACGCATCAACAAAATCATTATTTCCACCCTTGTCAACAATGATAATAAATGCTAACAAGAATCTATGTTCAAGTTTGATAAAAAAATGGTGTCGGTTATATACGACCAGCATAGCATTTAACCTCTTAGCTGTGGACAACGTATATACGCGTCATAACTAAATGGCAATTTTACATCTTACAACAAAAATACAAATTAATATAAATTTCGCACATTTTAGAATAATTCTAGAACAACTTGCCGAAAGAAACTGCAGCCAGTGTGATCAATAAAACGCATACAAAATTGATCTTAAAAATAGATCGATGCAGCCAAGTGGTTAAAACTGTCTCTTATACACATCTCTTAGCTGTGGACGACGTATATACGCGTCATAACTAAGAGGTTAAATGCTATGCCTGTCTCTTATACACATCTCTTAGCTGTGGACGACGTATATACGCGTCATAACTAAGAGGTTAAATGCTATGCCTGTCTCTTATACACATCTCTTAGCTGTGGACGACGTATATACGCGTCATAACTAAGAGGTTAAATGCTATGCCTGTCTCTTATACACATCTCTTAGCTGTGGACGACGTATATACGCGTCATAACTAAGAGGTTAAATGCTATGCCTGTCTCTTATACACATCTCTTAGCTGTGGACGACGTATATACGCGTCATAACTAAGAGGTTAAATGCTATGCCTGTCTCTTATACACATCTCTTAGCTGTGGACGACGTATATACGCGTCATAACTAAGAGGTTAAATGCTATGCCTGTCTCTTATACACATCTCTTAGCTGTGGACGACGTATATACGCGTCATAACTAAGAGGTTAAATGCTATGCCTGTCTCTTATACACATCTCTTAGCTGTGGACGACGTATATACGCGTCATAACTAAGAGGTTAAATGCTATGCCTGTCTCTTATACACATCTCTTAGCTGTGGACGACGTATATACGCGTCATAACTAAGAGGTTAAATGCTATGCCTGTCTCTTATACACATCTCTTAGCTGTGGACGACGTATATACGCGTCATAACTAAGAGGTTAAATGCTATGCCTGTCTCTTATACACATCTCTTAGCTGTGGACGACGTATATACGCGTCATAACTAAGAGGTTAAATGCTATGCCTGTCTCTTATACACATCTCTTAGCTGTGGACGACGTATATACGCGTCATAACTAAGAGGTTAAATGCTATGCCTGTCTCTTATACACATCTCTTAGCTGTGGACGACGTATATACGCGTCATAACTAAGAGGTTAAATGCTATGCCTGTCTCTTATACACATCTCTTAGCTGTGGACGACGTATATACGCGTCATAACTAAGAGGTTAAATGCTATGCCTGTCTCTTATACACATCTCTTAGCTGTGGACGACGTATATACGCGTCATAACTAAGAGGTTAAATGCTATGCCTGTCTCTTATACACATCTCTTAGCTGTGGACGACGTATATACGCGTCATAACTAAGAGGTTAAATGCTATGCCTGTCTCTTATACACATCTCTTAGCTGTGGACGACGTATATACGCGTCATAACTAAGAGGTTAAATGCTATGCCTGTCTCTTATACACATCTCTTAGCTGTGGACGACGTATATACGCGTCATAACTAAGAGGTTAAATGCTATGCCTGTCTCTTATACACATCTAGATGTGTATAAGAGACAGTTTTAGAATAATTCTAGAACAACTTGCCGAAAGAAACTGCAGCCAGTGTGATCGATAAAACGCATACAAAATTGATCTTAAAAATAGATCGATGCAGCCAAGTGGTTAAAATCACCCCCATCCAGAGAGTATCCCTCAGAATCCACGCATCACCAAAATCGGTGTCTCCACCCTTGTCGACACTGCTAGGATTATCAAGTTGGAACTAATAAATGCTAACAAGAATCCGTGTTCAAGTTTGATCAAAAAATTGCATCAGCCATATACAACCACCATGACATTAAAACTATTGAACTGTATAATAAAATCATCCTCTTGAAGTCGTTCGAAGAACTAAGCCAAGAATTAACCACCAATTTGCGACGCTTGTAACGAACCAATAATATCGACAGCCCAACTATTCTACAAACACAAAAGATTTGAACGTACGGAGACGAAAATCAGCAAAATCATTTTTGCTGGACGAAATCAGCAAAAATCATTTCTGACCTCTGAAAACTGCGTTATAGAATCGCGTTATCTGAAAGAAACTCATCTATACAACAAAAAGCAGCAAAATCTAAGAACGCCGAACCTGTCGTTAATGACCTTGCAGTCGATGCGACATTAAACCCAAAAGAAAAATGGGAAAACAAGTCAAGGTAACTTCCAACGATTATAAAATTGGAATTACAGCAAATTCTGTCAAATTGTTCCTCAGCTTGTAAACAGAAATGGACAATTTGGGAAAAGGAGATAAAATTACAATAATTTCTCCATAATTCGCGCTCAGATTGTGCAAAAGAATAGACAATTTAGAAAGAGAAGATGCAATTATAGTAATTTCTCCTTGATTCGCGCTCACATTGCACACGAAAATGAATAACTTGGGAAGAGGAGATACGATTATTCGAGCCTTGGGTCTCGCTTTTATAATTGTTGACAATCGATAACTATAAAAACGAATCGCAAGGCTCGGATAATCGTATCTCCACTTCCCAAACTGTCCATTTTTGTGCGCAATCCGACCGCGAATTAGGTAAAAATTACCGTATTCAAGCCTCGCGACTGGTTTTTATAGTTGTCGACAATCAGCTACGATGTCGTCCCCAATTTCAAAACGTCGAACCTCGAAATTTATCGGCAAAATCGCCGTTTCGCAATACGCTCGACCAAGTCTCTCTCACCGTGCGACCCTAACGGCGTCCATGTTGTCGCGAGAGGCTCCGCGTTTCTCGGAACAGCGGCGTGCGGGAGTGGAAGAGGTTGGATCGGTAAAAGTTCGATCGGTATTCATGCACCGTGCTCGGCGAAACAAACGACAAAGCGGCGTGTCGTTGTAGGAGGAACCGCGCGTCGGACGGGCGAAAGTCCGACCGGATTATTCGGGGATCCGGCTCCGAAATATCAGAATTAACTTGTTGACCGAACAGCGAAAGGTAGGCTGGCCCAGAGGCGGGCTCATCAATCCGACGAGTTAGCCTCGGCACTTCGGCTGGTTTCACCGTGGGGCTTACCAGATTAAGCGGTCCGCGTCGAGTTTGATCGAGTCTTCTAAGTCTTTCATTACGGGAACCCGGCCGAGGGTGGGTTTATTATTACGGTAAGAAGACGGCCGTCTTGTTTGTTAAACGAGGGGAGAACGAAGACGCGAAGGGGTGACCGGGGGCACGGTCAGCAGGCTATTTCCCGGGGTGAATAGTGTGACTCACTTGGTCGGTCAAAATAAACCGAAGGTAGCCCCCGATCATTGGCCGTCAATCAATCCTACCCATCGTGTCTTTATTAACTCTTCACCGACCCGTCAGCTTGGATTTCCCTGCGACCGGTCGCCATGGAGCTGTTTCTGCAACTGGAATTTGCTTTGCTTCGGCTGTGAAGTATCAACGAAACGTGTAAATGTAGTCTGGTTATGTCAAGGTCTTCTGCGAGGCATACGCCATTAGATCAGCTTTTTCAATAATTGAAATAGATGACTCGACCAAATACATCATACTCACAGACTCCAGAAGTATCATTGAAAGCCTAAAAATTCAATTCATAAGTATTCAATCATAAGTATTAACGTGGATCCCATTCCACATGGGAATCCAGGGTAACGAAATTGCGAACAAAATGGCCAAATCCGCTTCGAACATGTCTACGTCCAATAAAAATATCCCAACTTCACATAGAGACTTCAGAAGTTTTCTAATAAAATAAAATGATTGGAAACTGGAATGATTACTGGGAAACACATAGTACCTTCAAGAATCCTAACGAATGTTCCAATTTCGTACACAGACTTCAGAAGTTTTCTAATAAAAAAATTATTGGAAACTGGAATAATTACTGGGAAACCCATGGTACTTTCAGAATCCTAACAAAGAATCCTAAATGTTATATTGGAGTGTTAAAAATGAGAGGTAAAAATGAAGTGGTAAAAATCTGAAACGAGATATTATAACGTTAAATAGGTTAATTAGATATTTATTAAATTATAAATTATTTTAAAACGTGTCGGTTGCCAAGTTTTCTTGATGTAGATGTTTTTATAATTCGTACGATTTAATCCTTAATTGGTTCAATAATTTTTCGCAATAGTACATGGAAAATATTGAGGTTGGAATAAAGTCAAAATAAAAAGTGCAAACAGACGTGTGAATCTAGTGTTAGATTAACCATCCAGTGAATTTTATTTTTAGCTA